TCTCCCTTCCTTGGAGGAACTTTATAACTCGAGCTGCCTCAAGAAAGCCCAAAAGATCTGGGAGGATTCGTCCCACCCTGGGCATCATCTGATGGAAATGCTACCTTCAGGCAGACGTTTCAGGTGTCTCAAGGCACAGACAAACAGATTAAAAAATAGCTTCTACCCAAAAGCAATAATTGCACTGGACAACTCATAAGTGGGCAACACTGTACCGCACCTCACAATACACGGTCTTCAGCTTATAGTAGTCATTATCATGTCATTATCATTACTTAGTAAATATGTGACATTGTACTGTACCCTACAATGTTGTTTGTAGCTTTTTAACATATTTAACATAATTATTTTATTCCTGTCAATATGGAGATGGACCTTTGCAGTTTATGTCTGTCAATGTGCAATAAGTGTGATTTTTATGTGGTTTATAGTTTTTTGTTTTTCATACTGACACATTTTTCTCTACACCTGAGGTTTGCACCCAATTTCGTTGTACTGTGTACAATGAAAATAAAGATTCTATTCTATTCTATTCTAACATCAGCCATGTTGAGTCATATTCTTTTTATATCTGAGCAATGCTTTAATGGGTAATAGTTACAGCTCATAAAAAAACTCAAATATCCCCATCCCCATGTCTTCCTTTCATTTAATGGTGGCTTTGACATTATACCTGTAATGTTGACTAATAGACAAACACTAAGCAGCTGTTCAGTTTGCAGTGATCGATTTCTGTTTAGTAATTCAATTGGATGAACAATTCCAGGATTTAAATGAACTGTTACATACGTAATTACCTTTGTGTGTTTGAGTATTTTTGAAGGAGCGAGTTGAAATAATTGTCCATCATGGTGCATAATCTACTGACCTGAGTGAAATGTTAGACATGCTTTATATTGCTTGGACTATGCCCTAGTCATAACAATTGCAGCAGCTCAGTAGAATGGTCAAACATAAATTATGGATGGATTCTAATTTCCTCTATTGGGTCCCTGCCCAATTAGAAAAGCCCTAATTGCAGCAGCTACCAAGTGAAATATTTTTTAGCTGTTCATCCTGGGATTGCTGGAACAGTCTTTGTATTGGATCCTGGACTTTATTCTTTATGTGCTTTAGTCCTTTAAGTAATTGGATTGGAATTGGAAATGAAGCCCCTTTGCTCCTGCGCAGGCCGAAGTCAGGCCAGCAGCATTAGTGCTGAGCCAGCATGACATAAGGCTTTTAAATTAAGATACACTCTTTTTCCAGGGGGAATCTAGGGAGATGTTACAGTTTGTTGTTTCCTTTTCTGCCATCTGCTTTGTTTACTGTTACACATTGAAACTTTGTTTCCATTTTTTGTTTTGTCTTTCTCTCTCACTTTGCCATTTTCCACCTTACTGTAAGTTGTTTTAACCCACTCACCTATTTTACTTTACCTCCTTTGTCGCTATGGTTGTTGCTGTGGTGCTTAAATGTGCCACGACATGTAGTCCTCTTGCAGTTGGGGATTGTGAAATTGATCTAATTTAATGCAATTACACAAATTAACCAGTTCTCTCTCTCTCTCTCTCTCATATAGCTGTATCTGAGGTCCACAGTTCAATGGGGAAGGCAGTGCAGATGTTCTGTTCCGGAGACTGGGACCCAAAACGAGTCCCACAGGAAACAGAGTGCCTCGAGCCCCTGCTGGCTAAAGCCCCATCTCACCTACCCAGCCAGCCACAACGCTGCTTCACAGGTGAGAACGCCATGTACATCACATCTCTCATAACCAGTCAGGATCAGAGTTTCCTAAAGGTGCTACTAGTTCAGGTCAGTTTTATCAAGGTGCTTTTGGAAGTAATTTTAGGTGATATTGTTCTGTAGTGTAACAGTAATTGAGCAACCAACAACAGATGGTCATCAGTAATAAAACTTCATGTCAGAAATGTCAGCACCTGCTTCTACTGTACCGAAACAACATGGCAGTTTCAAAAAGTGATTGGTTTGCATTTGTTAACAGTGTGGCAGCACAGACCAGCTGACAAGTGCTGGGACCTAACGATTATTCACAGTCAGGAAAATCACATCATTAAATCATATATACTCGTTTTCAAGGCAACCCATATACAGTACATGGGTCAAAGGGAGAACTGAATCCACAATAATCAAGACTTTTATGTTTTTTTAAATACTGCTCAATAATACCACTAAATCCAGTCACTGCACTTTTTTTTTGTCTCCTTCTCATCATGTTATCTGTTTCAGATCGCCTGTTCTACATCTACACGTCAGGAACCACTGGGATGCCTAAAGCAGCTATTGTTGTGCACAGCAGGTAGGAAGGAGCCACGCAGCTTACTAACAGACACAGAGGAACTACTGCTGCTATCTCTGTTGATGCATGTTGCTTTCATGCCTAGTATAAATACTGGTAGAAGAGAAATTTGTCAAACAAGGTGCTTTTACTTTACTATTTTTACTTTTCTTCTCTTGTCTCACTCCACCCTGGTTTTCAGGTACTACCGCATGGCAGCTTTGGTGTATTATGGCTTTAGGATGACATCAGATGATGTGCTATATGACTGCCTGCCACTGTACCATTCTGCAGGTAAAAATATACGTGTGTGTGTGCACCTGAAGTTGAAAAAGGGCATTTTCAAGCCTATAGTTTGTTTGCTCTGGTCTGAATCAGCGGATGACTTGTTGCTTTTTCCTCTTGGTTAAAAAGAAAGAAAAAGAAATTAGAGCAAATCCAAATGCATTAAAAAGTAAAAGTACTCTGTTGCTTGTACAGGTCTAACCTCAGTTTATTCTGTGGCTAGATGCTAGCAAATGAGCCACACCAGAATTTGTTTGTGATCAGACAACTTCCTCTTAAACATATCAGTGAGGTTGTTTTAGTCTGTACAGAGACCCATTGTTCAGATCTGCCCTGTACTGAAGGGGAAACTGAACTAGAGTCCAAAGCTATATGCAGTTTTTCCCTCATGTCAAAAAGCGCATTTGTTCTTTTCTTCATTTAGTTTAGCTACTAAAATCAGTAGTAAAAAAAGAAAGGCATGCTAATGTTTACTTCATAGTCTCTCATGTTTTGTACTGCCTATTTTTTCACCTTTTCACTTGTGCAGTCAAAAAATATCCTAACAATAGAAAAACATGAGGAATGGCATGTAAAGGAGATGATGTCTGTTTTTGCTTGACGTCTTTTTATATTTTCACGTTGAGGCTGGTACTCCATGACCCTCACACCTCATATTTCTGTGTCCACAGGAAACATTGTGGGTGTGGGCCAGTGTATCATACACGGCATGACAGTAGTCATCAGAAAGAAGTTCTCTGCCTCACGCTTCTGGGGCGACTGTGTCAAATACAACTGCACTGTAAGCTTAATGATGTCAATTACAAGCCCCTGCCACAGATTTAGTTATTTGAGGAGCACACTGCAGTCTCACGGTGTTGCTTTAAAGGCATCTTTGTGTCACATTCTTCAGAAGTAATATCAGGCTTTAATGTTATTCCCCAGTTAGGTTCTGTGAAACCCTTTTCATTATTGTGAGCTTGGCATTGAATCAGTAATTATTCTATTTTTACCTCTGTCCTGTCTCATCTCTAAACTAATCTTTTTTTCCATCACCTTACTCCAGATTGTGCAGTACATTGGTGAGGCGGGACCCAGCCAATTCGGGACACAGAGCGACAACATCGAGTGCGCATGGCACTGGGCAATGGCCTGCGCCAGTCCATATGGGAGGAGTTCATGAACCGCTTCAATATCCCGCAGATCGCAGAGTTCTATGGAGCTACAGAGTGCAACTGCAGCCTGGGCAACTTCGATAACAAGGTGAGAAGGTGTCCTGCAACAACATCTTCCTCACCACCCTGAAAGCTTTGTGATTAACTTTATTTATTTATTTATTTTCTGTCTGTGCTCTAGGTCGGAGCGTGTGGCTTCAACAGTCAGATTCTACCCTTCTTCTACCCCATCAGACTGGTGAGGGTTGATGAAGAGACCATGGAGCTCATTAGAGGACCTGATGGTGTCTGCATTCCCTGTAAACCTGGTCTGTTTACTTTATTCACATCAAACTATACATAGTAACCTTAGCAAGCTTAAACATACAGAGTGGTGTTGTTAGGCTAGAAAAAACACTTCAGAGGAATACTCAGCTTTTCACAGGCTTCCATCCACTTTATATGTTTGATTATTAGTAAAGTAAAGCTGAACATGTAACCTGTACTTTTGGCACCTTGCAGTGGTGCATGTTCTTTCCGGTCACTGGCAATAATAAATTAGTCAGCTAGTTAATGGTGGCACACATGCAGAAATGTTGTTTAATGTGCTTGTCTATATCCAACAAAATGACCTGTTATGTTAAGAAGAATGTAAAGACTCATCGTTCATCATCTTGTACATGTACCAAAAAGCACTACTCTGGGTATTTTGTCTTTTTCCTTTCTGAATCCCCCCCCCGATGGAGCTCATCGCTTCATCCTGTGCAAATAGTCATTTGAATTCATGTGAATGCCTGTTGCACATTCATCAACACTGTTGTATTTTACCTTTCCCTCTTTCAATTTCTCTCCCTTTCTAGGCGAGCCTGGCCAGCTAGTAGGCAGGATCATTCAGAATGACCCTCTTCGGAGGTTTGATGGCTATGTCAACCAATCGGCAACAAACAAGAAGATTGCTAATAATGTCTTTAAGAAGGGAGACAGCGCTTATCTCTCTGGTTAGTCACTAACACCCACACAAACTATGGAGTTATGCACTGTATTCCCTGGTGATTAAGATAATCTTTCCCTCCTCTCACCAGGTGATGTGTTGATCATGGATAAGTACGGCCACATGTATTTCAAGGACCGAACAGGAGACACTTTCCGCTGGAAAGGAGAGAACGTCTCTACGACCGAGGTGGAGGGAACTCTCAGCAAGCTGCTACACATGAAAGATGTAGTTGTGTATGGAGTGGATGTACCAGGTAATAACACACTGTACTCGTATATGAGATTAAAGGTTCATTCCCAAGTTCTTATTTTGAAGCCTTCCTGGCACTACATTTGTCTAAAATATGCATCAAATTTCATCACTTCCATTTCACGTTTCATTTTTTTTAAACATACCGAGGGTGGACTCAATCAACATGTCTGTCACCTGTGTTTTCAAAATAGGTTAGTGCAGTGTGTATAGGGCTACGACGGGAATACTGAATAGATTTTTGGCAAGCCGTTCTGTATGGTTACTACAGCTGTAGTGTGCTGGCTTACTCTTGACCTGTTGTGAATTGAAACGAATTCTATAGAGTTTGAAATGTCATCGCATATAAAGCTGAGCTGTAGATGAGGCTCTGCAGACTGAGTGACACAAAAGACAAATCACAGAATTCTTCTTTCCAGTCACTGTGATTAGATAAGACAGTGTTTTTAATTCCCAAAGGGAATAGAAATAAACTTTAAACATATTGATGAAGCATTTATATGACTGCATCAGTCTGCTGCGATTTCAGTTAGATTTCCACTCTCTCGCATCATAAATGACTGATGATTGATGAGCACCTGAAGTCTAACATATCATCTTAAACAACATAATACAAAGTCATAGCAGACCAGTCTGATGTGTGTAGTATTGTAAGGGGCTAACTTGTAGCAGCCAGGTGTCATTAGCATGTGATTTAATAAAAGTAAACACAGGGAACCACCATGCATAATGGCACTGCAGAGCATTTGTATCAACATGTGTGTCCAGCTGCAGAGAATGAACTGAAGGTGCTTTTCACATACAACATAAAGCAGCTCTAATAGTCATAAGCTTTAAGGAGGGTTTTGTATAGCATTTTTAGCCTCATTCCATGAACACAAGTATCTGTCGAACCTTAAACCCCAGTGGTTCACAGGACTAAACCTCTGACTTGCCTGTTTTTTGTGTGCACAGGAGCCGAGGGAAAAGCTGGAATGGCAGCCATCGCTGATCCATCTCTCACCACCGACCTGGAGAGGTTTGTGAAGGACATGGAGAAGGCTCTTCCTCCATACGCCAGACCTGTCTTCATCCGCTTCCTTCCAGAGGTCGACAAGACAGGTACAATGAACTGCTCTTTCCAAATAAGCAAGAGTAAATATAGATTTTACTCCTGTGGAGTTTTAAAAAAAAATTGCCTATGCTTTTGAAGCACCTCTGAGTGAGACGTGAAAGCCCTCTACAACCCAAAAATGTGTGTGTGTGTGTGTGTGTGTGTGTTTTTTTTATTGTCACTTCATTTTGATGTTTGAGCTCCACTGTGTAGAATGATGCAGGAACAGTTTTTACCAGAAAACTGTTTATACATTCATCAGCTGCTGAGAGGAAATTTGTCCCACATTTGCTTCTATAAGTGCTCATCCACCAACAACATCTCATCACTTTCAGTTAAAGCAGCACAAGAAGTAGAAGGTTTGCAAAAATTGCTTATGACATTAGAACTACAATGCTTTGCAAGAAAAATTTGAGTAGCGGTGTGTTTGGGAACGCTTCTTAAAACAGTAAGACTAATTCTGTAAAGCTAAGAGGTATAGTAAGAACAACTGAAATAGCTGCATCATTTCTTTGTGGCTCTCTTTTTCAGGAACATTTAAGTTTCAGAAGACAGAGTTGCGTCGGGAAGGCTTTGACCCCAGTGCTGTGTCAGACAGACTGTACTTCCTGGATTCCAGCAGAGGGCGCTATGTGCAGCTGGATGAGGAGCTTTACCGCTCCATCCTGTCGGGGAAAAACAAATTGTGATGACTAGGCCGACCACTACATCTGCACTTGCACACCTAGACACACACAGATACAGAAAAGAAGACGGTGTTGTTTGACCAAGATAGCAGAATGTGACTTTCACTCCATATACACACAAATACATGTTAACTAATAGCCATACACACTCAAATGCCAACACATTTACATATATACACATACACATTGTACTCCCAAAACCATTTTGCTATTTGATCACTAAAAGCAGACTTAGACACACACTGTTCCGTCCATCCCTCCTGAAATTCCCCAGCGATTCCTCTCGCTACCTCAGCAAACACAGAGGCACAAACCCAGTAACCAGGTAACTTGAAGTCACCTTTCATAGCCGCACAGTCCTAGCACACACAGCCCTTGGAACAACCTCCGCCTGTCCATCAGATGACTTGCGGGGTGGCGGGGTAGTGAGGAGTACAAGCTGCCTGATATCCAGAATGCGAAAACTTGAAACTGCACATAACCACAAACCTGATGGATGATAAAGAGGAACATGGATTCCGTGTATACAAGTTATGGCACTGTGGAGGGACCTATGAGGACCTAAACTGTCTTTTTGTTGGTTGTTATTTGTGAGTTTATGTGAAAGACTGGAGCTTTTTCTGTCGACTTCACCTGCACAATTAGCCAGCAATGACAAACCTGTGTGACAGCTTTCTGCTGCCTGAGTGTAACTTGTACTCTCTGGTCTCCTGATCTTCATTTTTACTTGTGCTCTACGGTTTGAAGATGAGGAAAGGACACATTTAACAGTTTTATAAAGGAAACACCTGAAGATATGAAGGATTGGATTTGGAGAGTCTTTGACAACTAACCACTAGTTAGACCAGTGGTTGAAGCCGAAAGATTTACTGAAGTGCAATAGGACTCTAGTGTTTGCGGAGCAATAATCAGCTGCACCACACAAGAGCTGATATAAAACAGAGAGTCAGATTTAATTCAGGAGACTCGACTCCGGTGACAGATTAAAGGCAAAAACCTGAATAAATTAGCGGTCTCTTCCAGGATGACAGTGCCCCCATCTATAGGGCGCGAGGGATCACTAAATGTTTGAGTATGAAAACGATGTGAATCGTATGCTGTGGCCTTCGCAGTCACCTGATCTCAATCCAGCTGAACTCCTTTGTGAGATTTTAGACTGATGTGTTAGACAGCGCTCTCCAGGTTGAAGCTGTTCTGGTTTCATATGGTGAGCTTACAATTTATTTTGGTTTTACCTTTCATTTGTCACCCGTCTATATGGCTGCATCACATCACCAAATAAGTTTGCAGTGTTTGTTTACATATTTAAGAAAATATGTTTTTAGTAATATATTTTGTACAATGTTTCTCTTTTATTGTTGTGCAAATGTGTCAGGTTTTTCTTTGCTTTATGTGTATCCAAATCTGTGCTTTGGCAGCTGTCACTCCTCAAAAATGAAGCTGCAGACTCCATTTTACATCAGCTGCTGGAACACAAACTAAAGTGATCTGACTGGTTCAACCCTGAGCTAAATGCACTGGACTGTTTCCGTGTAGATGCTGAGCTGACATGCAGGATTGTTGCATGGCTGTATTGTGCAGGTTGTGTCATGAAAAGTAGACTTAGCCTGTCTTAAGATGTATCTATTCTTCTAAAGCCTACATGAAGAGGACTCGATTGAAGAGAGAAGCACTAAATCACCTGGTCAGTGAGAACTTGTGTTTTCAGCAATCCTCTGGAGCTAGAAAGGGATGTTCTGCAGATTCAGGAGAGCTGAATGATCCAAAGATTCAAGGGCGGGGAGTAGGACGGATGTATAGAAAAAGAGCAGTCGAAGAAGAGAAGACGTGCTTTTTGTCATTGCTGTCATTGGAGGTTTGAGCAAAATGAATTGGCATCATTCACCATGAGCAGAGCACTGTGTGAGTTCACACCCAAGATTCACAGGCCCACATCTAATGTCTCATATGGTTCCCTGTGTTGGGCTTCACTCTTCTCATTCAGCTTCTACTGACTATAATCTGTCTCGTACAGTATGTTCCCTGTCATAGTAGCCTTGCAAAGCTGGTGCTGATGTCTCAATGAGCGAAATGCCAAATGTTACGAGACTGGTGTGACGGCATTTTCAAGGACTCTGTCCTCTCTTCTTCTCTAATCTTAGTTCTGATTGCAACTTTAATTTGTCTTCAAGCTGTCTTTGTTCCATGCCTTGTCTAATAGATACACATAAAGTAATATCCCAAGTTTCCATTTGCTCAGCACCTCTAAATCTTTATGCCAACCACCCCAGTATTTTTCATCAAACCACCTCTTCCCTCTTTCTTCTCTCGTTCTGATCGTAGCCCTCCGTCCCTTTGAGCAGGCACGTCTGTGTGATCATCGCCGTCTCTGTCAGATACCGAGCTCTACACTGTCTGGTTCATGTTGTATCAGATATTTCAGATATTTCTAAGTGGAGTTTCAGTGTTCGATTTAGGTATATTGGAGGGACTGTTCAGGAGGTCTGGTAACAAGTTCCATGTACACACTCAAAACTGTTTTTAAGAATCTCTTGTTCATGTGTGTTGTGTGTAGTCTGCCATTACCCTGGGACTGTTTTTTTTTTTTCTTACCTTTGTAACTGACCACTTCCTAAATCACCTATAGCACAGCCACGCAGGTTGTTTGTCTGTAATGTGGAGGACTTTTATTTTCCACCAGTTTTATAGCTTATGCTACCTTTTTTCTGCAGAGTGATTCTCGGTATGTTTAAAAAGTTTTTATTTGCACTGACTGACACTGTTGACGACTGTAGTCTGCTGACGGTGATCGCTAGAGTCACTCTCACCAGTCATTCCCCTGTTTTGACAAAGGCATTTGACAAAAACTGAGATTCACTCCTGTTTCCTCTGTGCTCTGAGTCTCACGGTTACGTATCCTTTAATGATGAGTGTGAAGTGTTCTCTTGAATGTCTGAAAAGTAAATGAGTGGCCAGTGATGATGGTGATGTAAAGTTTGTTGTACGTATCCAAGGGAACAAAGCTAGGCTGTTATGATGCTTCAAACAGAGGGTTGCACTTGCCAACCCAGATGACCGGGGGGCGGGTGACTAGCAGCCTCAAAGCACAGCACTCTGAATAAGATGTTTTCGTATTCACTTTTTTTTATAAGTTTAAATTATTATTTCTGAAGAACTGTTAGTTCTACGTTGATTGTTTCACTGCTGTATTTGTTTGCATTTTATTTTCTGTGTGTGAAATTATAGCTATGTGATTTTGGTATAAAAAAAGGGATTCGTTCATGAGTGGAAGACAATCGAATGGCAGTTGTTGTTTTGTTTTTCTGTCTTTGGCACTAGGAACCAGGCCGGCATTAGCTGTAAATGTTGACCCAGAGCTAGTTTTCCATTTCCTAGTTAATAAATATTCTTTAGAAGCACAAGCAGATAGCAAACTAGATAAGTAAAACATAAAACATCTGAAGGCCTGTAGGGAGCAGCAGGGCACCTGTTTGACCAGAGGTGGCGCTGTCTTCATCAGTGTTTTCTCAAACAGGTTTCATGCCCTTGTTTTATCATCATTCCTTGAATGACTGACAGAAGGACCTATATGACTACAACTACTGTAGAGATTCATGTGTGATGGAAATTATACTTTACATGTTTCAAAATGTGGATTTGTTTTTCCACAAACTGTAAACCATACAGATGTACAAGCCTCAATCAGCCTGTGCATATTTTCAGCTAAAGTCACTTCACCTTGTGTCTTTAGCAACTTTGCACCAAAAATGTGCTGACAAAGTGAACATTTTCCCTGTCCCTCTGCGTAGTTTTATGTTATTTAACAAATTAAAACCATTTAATGTCAGCCCGTAGTAGCCACAGATAGTACATTTTGTCAGTCCATGGAGGCTGACATGCATATATACAGCATATTGATGTATAAATGTATTCAGTTGAGCTCCAAAGTGAACAGTTCTGTGAGAAAGTCTCACAGACATTTAACTGTCCCCAGTCTTCCCAGCTGGTACTGAGATCAGTCGAGATAACCAGAGTGTAAGTGACCTCAGACAAAATGCCTCTAAGGGCACAGTGAGGTCCATGGTGAGCATCATTACACACCAGAATTGCGTTTTTATAATGTCTCTGCACTTACTGTCACTCCGATCGACCTGCTGTCTGCCTTTTTTGTTTGTCTTTTCCCCCCTTGTGGTGTCCTCAGGAACATCAAACAGTGCTGGAGAAGGAAACCAGGTTGTACACATCTGCCCCTGTAAGAGAAAGGTTTTTCTAATTATTGTATTTTATTGTCATTGCACAGATGGCAGCTCTTGGCTTATGCAGAGTGTGTAGGGGAGGTGTGCTGTGTGTGTGAGACACACACCGGCATCCTCTTGTCCACTGGAGGCTGGCTATATGCGTCATGTATTCAAGAAAATGGCATAAAAGCAGTACTGCATATGGAAAATCATTATTAATAAAAAGTATTTACATTGTTCACCTGGGCTCTGATTGCTGAAGCATTGTCTAATAGTATGACTGATGCCAGATTGTCATGTGAAGAAATCTGGATTGATGTGGACAAACTATGTTCAGAGAATTTCCAGGTAAAATTTTGAATGTTTGTAAAAATATAAAAATAAAAAATTGTATATCCATAATTATTTGATCCATGCAATCTTATGACTGGGACAGTTCAACAACCAAAGCTTCTCCTTTAAAATGGCAGAAGAAGTTTGTATTTTAATTACTATAGCAAAGCAGGACTTACACGTCCAGTATATTTGATGCAGGTGCATTAGAGAGGAGCTCAGTATCTTGTTAAGAGATTCCTGCACACTGAGGACATGTGTTGAATCAAATTAATATTTTAGACCTTAAAAAAGAAGAATTTGCAATTGCAAATGTACTATGTCCAAAAAGCTACTTTGAATTTCAGAAGAAACGTGAATTCCATGAAACCATCTGTAAAACCACAGGTTGTTCTTGTGTCCTGCAAGCAGGCCTCCCTCCAAACCCACTTTAAACTTTGATCGTATGCTCTGTATATTCATTTACTCCTCTTGTTCTCAACCTAGTTTTGACATTTGCACAGGCCTTAACATCCATTACAGCTACAGTCCTAAAGATAATCCTCAAGGTTTAGAAATGCAAACTAGATTTTAAAATGAAACATGTAAATGTTACTATTTTTGCTTGATCTTCAAAAGCCTTGTCTATGAAATGACCAGCTGACATTTAAGTAATGTATCTTTATTTTTTTGAGCTTTTAAAAGAACAAAGTAAAACTCGGCAGTGAACCTAAAATTGTGGAGCATCTTGGGAAGAAATCACTTTCAGTTTGAGAAATTGATTCTCATAAAGACAGAAATATTGAAATTTTCAAAACACTTTCAAAATGAGACTTCTCTTATCGAATGTTAGTAGTTTATTTTGTTCTAATATGAGCGATATCTAAGACTAGCATTTTGTACTGTAGTTGTGCACACTTGTCTTGTTTGATATGTAAATATCAAACTTCATTTCAACACAGTGCTCCTCCAGAAATTTGGATGATTTTGAATGCCACTGCTGTGTCCTTGTAATCTGTTAGCAGTGGTGGAAAAGCACTGAATACTTCTTCCACCACTATTTGTTTGTGTCGTCAAGACCAGTATTAGAGCTGTAGATGTTACTAATATCTCTAAGCTTCTGCATTTTGGTGTACTGGTTTCAGCTTTTGAAACCAGTGCATCTAATAAACCATAAGCATGATTTATTTCTGTACATATGGGAAGTCTGAGTTGCTTTGGAACCACAGGTCTTCAACACTTCATCACTGTTCCCTGACCCTTAGTGACGATTGGTTGACCACCAGATGGGTGGATCAGGAGAAAAGCAAACATTGCCACATTTGCCACTCTGTACTGTACCTGTCTGAACTGCCTGCAGTCCACTTCAGGCACGAGTCAGATACCCTCTCCCAATCCTTTGGCCCATACACTTCTTTGTTTCTTTACTCCTCGCAGCCATGAGGACGACTGCGGCCGCTGTTGTCATGGTGATGTTGTGCATGAAGATGGTGCAGGCAAACGTGAAGCCACAGAGAGATTTCGATCTGCAGAGAGTAAGACGGACACTCGTACTCACACATCCAGCTTTTTTACAATGTTTATGAGCACGAACCTATTTAAATGGTCCTTGTTTGTTCAGTGAAATGAGCTCTGGGACTGAGCTGGCATTATTTGTTGTTTATTAGGTGGCTCCATTTGTGACGGAACATTGTGTTTCAGTGTGTGTGTGCCTAGTCAAAGTTTGAGAACAGCTACTCAGTTAGTGACAAAACATGTATACGTTTAAGTCTCACCCCAGCATTGACCGGTCAATCAGACATTGTTATGATCAATACAATTCCTCACTTTCCTGCTTTGTCACAGAGGTTGAGAGAGGTCATTCTTACATTTCCCATAGCAAATACACCGTAAGAAAAGGAAGACGTTCACTCTGTTTTTTGTGGTAGATTTGATTCCCACGATGGGATCACTACATATTTATCACCAGATTATGTCGCTAGATAATCTGGTGTGTTTAATCTACATATTGAATAACACAGAAACCTTTATGTCACATCTGTGTACAGATGTGAGGACATGCTGTGGTCAGCAGCAGTGTGCAACATGGTACAAATACAGCGCTTGTTCTCTCACTTTCCCACTTGGGCTGTTAAAGCTAATATTGTCACCTCTAAAAACACACACACACTCGCAAAATGGAAGACGTTCCATTAGGTAAGACTGTTTTTTTTGCTATGCTTATGTTAGTAAAGGATATCAGGTGATGTTATATATGTTTCTTATTAAAAGTAAATCTCACACAAAAACCAGAATCAATAATAAATTAAACCTACTATCATGTATTGCTGGCAAAGACCTGTGAGTCAAGGAGCTCAACAAAGGCTGTTAAAGACCCCACATTAATGTTGCACTGCTTAACAATCTTTCAGTGCAATGACGCTGAGCAGTGCAGTACACTGTATTTTAGTCAGTCCCTCATATGCCCTCCTGATCCTTTAAATATTAGGTAAATCTGCAGCTGAAAATAGTCCCCAGATACTATTTACCCCTGTTAATGCCCAGCTGTTTTATCCTTTAAAAACATAAGGCCACTTTTTTTTTTTTAAAGATTTACTTCTTTAGTAAGAACTGATGGGCTTGGAGCTGCCAGAGACAAGATAGGGAAATCAGACTTGTACATTATTTTGGGTGTTTTCTTTGTGATAAACATAAGAAAAATGTAGAATATTGCCATACTTCAGGTTCTGTAAACCAGTGAGTGATTATTAGGGGAGTAAAACACACAAAACACCTCAAAATCTTTAATAAGTAAACAAATTTCTGTGCTTGTGTGTGTGTGTGTGTGTGTGTGTGTGTGTGTGTGTGTGTGTGTGTGTGTGTTTAGTTTGCAGGGAAGTGGTACCGTGTGGGCCTGGCCTATGACTCTCCAAGTTTTGTCCCCTACAGAGACAAGGTGAAGGCCTCCATGGGCATCATCACAACGCTGCCTAATGGCAACGTTAACCTCACAATGTGGGATGCCACGTGAGTCTGCATGTGGCAGTGTGGTGATATATGGGCATGTATAGTACACAACATAAGTGTGTGGCCCCAGAAGTATACAGTATGGGTGAAAGAAAGAGGCAGGTGAATCAAAAAGACTGGAGACAACTGTGTTTTGTCTCTGTGCCTCAGACCCCTAGGTTGTCAGACTCAGCTGTACCAGTATGAGAACGCCACCGTCCCTGGACAGTTCACCTACTTCAGCACACGTAAGTCTCTGCTCCCTTCGGGTCTGATCATCACCTTCCTAAGACAGAACTCATTTTCTGGTTTGAATTTGAGAAAAAGAGAAGAGAAAAGATCTGTGACTCAATTTTACTCAAAAAAACTAGCACTTAGACATTTTCCCTTTTCAAAATAAAAAAAACTATTATAGCTGCTAGATAGTTTGTACTGTATATTATAAATATTTATTGCATATGTTTTGGAGATATTTTCATTCATATACACTTGGCTGCCTTTAGTACACCCAGTTTTATCTGTTCTATTTAGACTCGCTTTGTTTGAAATCTTCTTTTATTACTACAAAACAATTTAGTTTAAAATCACACCAAGTTAAGTCATCCAAATCATAGCTTCTCATTTACAGATTTTACTAATTGCTCTACAGAATCCATCACATTTCTAGTTTTTCTAAGGTTAAGTTCTAGTGTGTGTATAATGTCTGTCACTTCTGTGTTTTCTGACAGGCCACAACATGGTGAAGGACATCACAGTGGTGGACACAAACTACACTGAATATGCTCTGGTTCTCAAACACAAGGTGTTTAACATAGAGTATACACAAGTGGCGCTTTATGGTGAGACACACGCATGCACAAACCAGGGGCGTTGCTAGACATACAGCTCTACTGGGGCACAGGCCCCCCCATTACTCAAATTACAGTAGTTTTTCTTGAATGTCTGCTGCATGAATTAAATGTGCTATACACTGTGCTATATGAACTTCCCTCACTTAGCCACGCTGTGTACGAACCCTGAACGCTGCACCCCAGCTTGCATTTTGCTTTGACATTCCGGATTAGAACAAGTCAAATACTTTCCCGCTGTTATTGATCTAAATTAATCCCCTGCCAAATATGGGAGCCTGTTAAAAAATTGAATATGTCATTTTCATGGGGCACAGCGGATCAAAACTGCAGCATGTGCCCCAGTGTGGCAAATGCTCATGCACTTTATACTTGACATCTAAACATAAGGCCTGTTAACTTCTCTCCAGAGTCAGTACTGTTCTGCCTGCCTCTGTGTTTCTCTGTACCTACTTGCAGGTCGCTCTCCAAAAGTCAGGAATGATGTAATTCAAAAGTTTAAAGCCTTTGCTTTGTCTCGGGGTCTCTCCAGAGAGTCTGTTTTGACTCCACCTCCTGCAGGTAAAGCAAGGGGAAGACATACATATTTGCACATATTCCTACACTATAACAGACATGTAGACACAGAACCTGAAGTTTCCTAATTCTTGTCTGTGTTTTTCTGGCCAACAGAAAATTGCCCCCCAGCAGATTCTGAACGTTAGGTGGGTCTGTTTCTTTTGGAACCTGTGAAAACCAGAGCAGTTAATTATAGACCGGGGCTGTGGGACAAATTGTCAATGTAAATTAATTTCTGTTACTCCGTGTAGGTACACAGATGTACCTGAGATGAAGGAAGCAGTGTGTCCCGATGTGCCACTGCAGCTCCGTTTTCCAGTCCACTTTCTCCAGCATTTACTATGAAGTACTGCAAAGAGCTTTCTTTCTGCAAACATCACCATTCTGGCTACAAAAAATGATAAATAGCTAATACAGCTGATAAAATGTATATGGCATTTCATGTCATTTTCATAGCTCTGCTGTCTTTACATTATTAAATAATCAATATTACTATCAGATTTTATGTGTGCATGCCTATCATGAGCTATCATGAGCTATTATTTAAATATAAAGTCCATGTTGCCATGTGATTATGCTTTTGGTTTTTGTCTTCTATCAAATATTTGGACTTTTGTGGGCAAGTAGTTTAATTAAATTTTGCATTTTAATCCCCTGGTGGAAAGTAATTAAGTTCTCAAATACTGTGAATAAATACCGTTTTAGGTAAAGAGATAATAATAATACACATAATGCAATAATTATATTCCTATAACAATAATTTTTTTTTTCTGAAATAGGCAATTTTGCATAATGAGATCTTTGGTACTTTAAGTATATTTTGATGCTAATGCTTTTACTTTTTCGAATGCAGGACTTTTACTTGTAACAGAGTATTTCTGCACTGTGGTACTGCCCTTAAGTAAATGATCACAGTGCTTCTTCCACTGCAGCCAAATGAATATAATCAATTGTGTTGTTTCACGGTTTTGACATATAGTAAACTTTAAGACTGGTGCACATTTATTTCAGTGTTCTTCTGTTGCATCCTGAGTCATGTGCCTAACCCTAACACCAGAGCACAGATTTCGTTAAACATTGGTTTGCTTGTCCTGAAACAAGCAAACCTCATAGCTCTGTGATGTACTGCATAGTGGTTGGTAGCTAATGCAAAAGCTTGCTGTGTAATCTAACATACAAACAGTAAAGCAGAAAAATGTCCAGTATGCTGTGAGAAATCAGGTTAAAGTCACTACTTGTCAAATTAAGAAATTTAACCCTTATTTTTCAACAGGAAAAACAATATGTCTGTACCTTGTCACATATATAAACTTATATGATCATAGACATTTACACAAACATGCACAGTGTAAGCACATTTGTGAATAAAAACAATGCATTCAATGCACACACATCCACAAAGAATATGGACCATACCTATATAACTTTTCCAAAGCCTTATTAATTAAGAACATTTTGACTTTAATGTGGCCAAAGAAACACTGTGGTAGATAGTAACGCTGCTCTTTCTCTACTAATTATCAGCTGTTAAATGTTGACATGTATTGATTGGTTCTTTGTTTGAGCTACAAATTCTGAAGTCCAGCAATTCACTGATGATCTGGACCAACAAGCACACAATTACAAGGACATACTTTAGTGCAAACACACACATGCCAAGACACACAAAGGCAGATAAAGATATGGTTAGAACTTTGCTCTTTTCGCCGTGCACTCTCTGGAGTGTTGTGGAAGAGAATTAGTAAAAGTTACGTTCACAGTCTATAAGTGTGACTCTCGGAGTGCAGCTGGCAGGAGGAGCTGTATGGTGAGGGTCAGAGCCTCTGGTGGACAGACACGCTAACAGGATGCAGACAGTGGTGAATCCAGTGTCTCTGCTGCTTCTGGGGTCAGCCTGGGTTCTCCAGACTGTCACCACGCTCCCAGAAATGGTGACCTTCGCACAGGATAACTTTGATCTGGGCCGGGTGAGTATTATTTCTTCTCCAACAATCTTTTATTGTCAGTGACTCCACTGACCCTTTTGTGTCCCTCAAGCTCAATTCAACCGAAGATGGAAACTATCATTTATGCTGACATTGGAATATAATTGTTTTGTGAATGTATCACATTTTGTTCCAGTGGAGTACAAACTATAAACAATAGCATTCATTCATTTTCTACCGCTTAATCCCTGAGCGGGGTCAGGGGGGGGGGGCGGCGGAGCCAATCCCGGCCGGCAATCGGGCGAAGGCGGGGTACACCCTGGACAGGTCGCCAATCCATCGCAGGGCTAACACATAGACAAACAACCACACACACGCACTCCTATGGGCAATTTAGAGACACCAATCAACCTAAGCTGCATGTCTTTGGACTGTGGGAGGAAGCCAGAGTACCCACGCAAGCACGGGGAGAACATGCAAACTCTACACAGAAAGGTCCCAGGTGGGGCCCGAACCCGGAACCTTCGCGCTGTGAGGCAACGGCACTAACCACTGTGCGTAACCGCTGCCCATATAGACAATAGCATTGTCCTCAAAACTTTATATACAAATGCTTTAAATAATAATAGATTTATTTTTAATGTGCAGTAAATATTTCCATGTTCCTTGCAGTTCATGGGGCAGTGGTATGAGGTAGCAGCAGTTTCAACCTGTCCTCACTATATGCGGCGCAAGAGGGGAAACCCTGTCATTGTTGCAGTGGAGCTGCATCATGTTGCTTCTGAGGGCAACTTTACAATGACATTCGCTACTTTCAGGTCAGAGTCACACCCATGTCAGCACACACACAGCTGGAAATATACTAAACTCAGAGTAATATGTTTTGTGTGTGTGTCCACCTGTATGTAGGAATGGCTCATGTAAGCAGATGTCCATAGATTATGTTCTGACTGACATCCCAGGACAGTTTTTCTACCATGTTGCCTGTATGTTTCTCCATTTCCTTCATCTTTTTTTTAAATCTAGTTGTACATTCTGTCCAAACTTTTCACACAAGGTTTTTAGAGTTAAACTAAAGTGCAGCCGTTGTGGTGCATAAAGATTAACGGTGTTTAAAGATTAAAGATCTGTTATGCCAAGTATTGTGAACCTGTTTTTGCAGGGCTCGGAGCAGATGTTGATTCCTATGTGGTTCATACCAACTACACTGAATATGCAGTAATGCTTCTACTGAGCACACAGAAACCATCGCTTAATAAAACCACCATAGTCAAGCTTTACAGTGAGTGACAATTCTTGACTCTATTAGCATGTCAATTTGTTCTACCTTTTGTGTGAAGGTTTGCAAAAAGTTTGTTTTCCACTCCATATACAGATGTGTAAAAGAAATTTTGCCTTTTTTTAGGCCGAACTATGGGTGTGAGTCCTGCTGTGCTTGACATCTTCAAAACACTGGTCAGAAAACATGGAATGAGTGATGACACCATCATCATGAATCAGAAAAAAGGTACAGATGCACACACGCTCTTTAATGATTACTGATAGCACCTGGTCTCCTCTCAGGCTCTATCAGCTGTAATTTGTTAAACTAAGATAAACACTGTTTCTTGTGATGTTTTCTGTGTCTTGCAGTCACATTACTGCAATAATTTGATGATGTTTTCCCAGAAAGCCGTAGCCTTTTCCTATACCATAAATTTTTCTCACAGCAGAAATTTTGACTTGACCTAGCAGGAATAGCACAGGTATAACATTGCAAAAACAGCAGCTGCATTACATTTTGGTTTGCAGGTGAGGTTTCATTCACAATCAGTATGAACTGCATTAAGGTTGAAACACATCTCCAATAAAACAATAACTCCCACTCAAATTGTTTCCCAGGTGAGTGTGTTCCTGGTGAGCAGGTGCCAGAGCCCACTCCTCAGCCACAGGTACATACCCCACAATGTGATGCACTGAAATGACACTTCCATACAGCTCTGTATGCATACTGAGACTGATCATTCACCAGTTGTGTGTGCCTTGTACTGCATATCTATTGTTCAGATTTCTGTACCCATGAGGTCAAACAGAGGCAGTGTGGTGCCACCTGTGGACTCTGGTAAATTTTGACCAGGTGAGAGGAGAAGTGCCTCATTGTCTAAAACAAAGTGTTTAATTTGCCTTTGCATAGCTTCTTTAGTTAAATTCTCCTCTCATAGCTCACTGTCCCCCACAGAAAAAACATAGTATCAAATGGAAGCACTAGTGTTGTGTACAATTGTAAACTATCGAGTAATTTTTGCCATCGTATATTAAATTTCATTGATAGTTTATTTATTTGGGCATTTTAGAGTGAGAGATGACAGGAAATGAGGAGGCAGAGATGTAGAATGAACTGCAATACAGATGGTCGGCCGGACGCAAAGCAGTGATGTTACAGTTCATGGTCAGCACCTTAGCCCCTCACAGTGCCCAGTCAGTAGGATTATCTACTTTACAGCAGCTGTTTTCACCCCTCTGTTTATTCCAGACACTCCCTGTGTGCTACAAATGTAAACATACAGTGGGTACGGAAAGTATTCAGACCCCCTTAAATTTTTCACTCTTTGTTATATTGCAGCCATATGCTAAAATCATTTAAGTTCATTTTTTTTCCTCATTAATGTACACACAGCACCCCATATTGACAGAAAAACACAGAATTTTTGACATTTTTGCAGATGTATTAAAAAAGAAAAACTGAAATATCACATGGTCATAAGTATTCAGACCCTTTGCTGTGACACTCATATATTTAACTTAGGTGCTGTCCATTTCTGCTGATCATCCCTGAGATGGTTCTACACCTTCATTTGAGTCCAGCTGTGTTTGATTATACTGATTGAACGTGATTAGGAAAGCCACACACCTGTCCATATAAGACCCTACAGCTCACAGTGCACGTCAGAGCAAATGAGAATCATGAGGTCAAAGGAACTGCCTGAAGAGCTCAGAGACAGAATTGTGGCAAGGCACAGATCTGGCCAAGGTTACAAAAAAAATTTCTGCTGCACTTAAGGTTCCAAAGAGCACAGTGGCCTCCATAATCCATAAATGGAAGACGTTTGGGACGACCAGAACCCTTCCTAGAACTGGCCGTC